CTTGTAGAGGGTATTATAATTTTGGTCAGAAGTTTGTAACGCAGTGAAGGAGACATTTCCGACCCTATAAAGTATATATATATTCTTGATCAGCATTACCAGGAGAGTCGATCTAGCCATGTCTGTCTGTCCGTCTGTTTCAATACCGTTTGCGAGCTCAGTTTAAAAGCTAGCGATCTGAAACTTTCACAAGCATCCTAAAACATGTGTACGCAGATCAAGTTTGAAAATCGCCCCGATCGGACGTCTATATCCTATAGCTCCCATAGGAACAATAGGGTGAATGAGGTCCAAATTTGATGATTATCAGAATATTTCGCGCAGTGTGTAAGCTACTGACATCAATTTTTCCAATTCTTATTTATTTACGCATATCTTGGTTAGGGTAAAGGCGCTTGCCGTTCGGAAGTCTATATCTTAAAACTTCCGTAGGAAAAATTGTTAAAGGCTGCGAAAGTATCCATTTTTTTCAATTTTTATATGACATTTTTGCAGTATTAAAGCAATTGAAATCAAAAGATGCAAATCTAGTTTATTTATGAATACCTTATTCCTTTCGCTACTTTTTCACTTTTAGCAATTTCGGCAAAGTCTGCAAGGGTATTAAAACTTCGGCTTGCCGAAGTTAGCTTCCGTCCTCGTTTTTACTTCAAACGTTTCATGTAAATTTCTGATATTTTAGAGATGATTTTGTAATAATTTCAAAAATTTTGATGCATTTCCGTAAGCAGGACACAGGGCGACGTAGGCCAATGCACGAAACAGGAACCCCGCTTGCGACTATTTTACAGGTCGTAAAAATTGTTTGAAACAAAAAATTCAATACGAATCGCATAAAATTTGGACTATTAATTACTGAAATCTGTGTTTATTACTTAAACAAAAAAAAACCATAGGTAGGGATTCGGCATTTATTCAATTTAGTTTCCACATGGGCATGAATTCAACGTCCACATTTCAGATGGGCATGAATTCAACGTCCACATTCCACATGGGCCTGAATTCAACGTCCACATTTCAGATTTCTCTCATTTTACATTTATTTTGCACTCAATGGCTTTACAGACACGTTTACAGAGAATAACATGCTAAAAATTAGAGAAAACACAACTTTGTTATCGATATAACATGAGTGAAATGAGATTTGTGTTGAGAGCACGTTGTTGTATGGGTGCAACGTCGAGCCTCGTGACGTCACGTCAGGCCACGTCAGGCAGAGCGAACCGTTGAATTATACAAAAAATCTGCTTGGCGGTTCGAAGTGTGGTGAAGGCATTGAAAGTAAACAAACTAAGGTTTTCCAGAAAAATCATTGAAAGAATAAGGAGTTTGCATTGCCATCGATTTATATCTAACCCCTGAGCCACATTTTCCAGAAAAACCCAAAATTTCTACAAATTAAGCCATATATAAGCACATTTTTTGAATTTTATTTATGAGGCAACCTTGCTAAATGTCATTTGGGTTCTTTAAAGTGTAAATTGTGTTCTTTAACAGTACTAAAATATCATAAATCTCTCAAAATATAACCAAAGCCCGCCAAATTTCTTGAATTCAACCCCTACTTGCTGTACTCTTCAATCGCACGCAGCTCTTACGGCGGTTGCATCCTATTCCTGGTCCCTCGCACAAGTTTGAACAGCTGATATTTTCACCACACCGTTCAAACACGGGCGTCGGGCCGGCGTCGAGAAATCGACGGGCAGAGCAAATGAAACCTCTATACGTTTCTTACTCTATGACATAGAGCATAGAGTAATAATGTATAGAGGCGTCATTTGCTCTGCCCGCGCTCTCGAGTGACTTTGCCAGTGATGCCACGTAGGGGAAAAACGGAAAAAAGAGAGTTTTGCAAATGTTCGAATCGAGCTTCATTCCATGCCCATGGTGAGATTCTGCAGCTGGACTGGTCGCTCTCATTGCGGATTTTTTAGCTTATGGGGAATGCGGGCGAGCGACCGAAATGGGCTTATGATTTTTCTTTGTTTACAAATATGTTGTTATTGTTTTCCTTTGATGGGCCTGAATTCAACGTCCACACGGGGCCCACATTTCAGTTGGGCTTGAATTTGATTTCACATGAAAGGCAACAAGTGGGACGGAATTAAATTCCTTATGGGAGTAAATTTATATTGTTTTTAGGAACTAATTTAATTAATATTGGGCCAGGAAAAATTATAATATTTTACATTTGAATATGAACACCTAAATTAAATTAAATATTAATTTATATGTACGTTATATTGTTTTAATTGGTTTTTTATACCCCTGCAGAGGGTATTATAATTTTGGTCAGAAGTTTGTAACGCAGTGAAGGAGACGTTTCCGACCCTATAAAGTATATATATATTCTTGATCAGCATTACCAGGAGAGTCGATCTAGCCATGTCTGTCTGTCCGTCTGTTTCAATACCGTTTGCGAGCTCAGTTTAAAAGCTAGCGATCTGAAACTTTCACAAGCATCCTAAAACATGTGTACGCAGATCAAGTTTGAAAATCGGCCCGATCGGACGTCTATATCCTATAGCTCCCATAGGAACAATAGGGTGAATGAGGTCCAAATTTGATGATTATCAGAATATTTCGCGCAGTGTGTAAGCTACTGACATCAATTTTTCCAATTCTTATTTATTTACGCATATCTTGGTTAGGGTAAAAGCGCTTGCCGTTCGGAAGTCTATATCTTAAAACTTCCGTAGGAAAAATTGTTAAAGGCTGCGAAAGTATCCATTTTTTTCTATTTTTATATGACATTTTTGCAGTATAAAAGCAATTGAAATCAAAAGATGCAAATCTAGTTTATTTATGAATACCTTATTCCTTTCGCTACTTTTTCACTTTTAGCAATTTCGGCAAAGTCTGCAAGGGTATTAAAACTTCGGCTTGCCGAAGTTAGCTTCCGTCCTCGTTTTTACTTCAAACGTTTCATGTAAATTTCTGATATTTTAGAGATGATTTTGTAATAATTTCAAAAATTTTGATGCATTTCCGTAAGCAGGACACAGGGCGACGTAGGCCAATGCACGAAACAGGAACCCCGCTTGCGACTATTTTACAGGTCGTAAAAATTGTTTGAAACAAAAAATTCAATACGAATCGCATAAAATTTGGACTATTAATTACTGAAATCTGTGTTTATTACTTAAACAAAAAAAAACCATAGGTAGGGATTCGGCATTTATTCAATTTAGTTTCCACATGGGCATGAATTCAACGTCCACATTTCAGATGGGCATGAATTCAACGTCCACATTCCACATGGGCCTGAATTCAACGTCCACATTTCAGATTTCTCTCATTTTACATTTATTTTGCACTCAATGGCTTTACAGACACGTTTACAGAGAATAACATGCTAAAAATTAGAGAAAACACAACTTTGTTATCGATATAACATGAGTGAAATGAGATTTGTGTTGAGAGCACGTTGTTGTATGGGTGCAACGTCGAGCCTCGTGACGTCACGTCAGGCCACGTCAGGCAGAGCGAACCGTTGAATTATACAAAAAATCTGCTTGGCGGTTCGAAGTGTGGTGAAGGCATTGAAAGTAAACAAACTAAGGTTTTCCAGAAAAATCATTGAAAGAATAAGGAGTTTGCATTGCCATCGATTTATATCTAACCCCTGAGCCACATTTTCCAGAAAAACCCAAAATTTCTACAAATTAAGCCATATATAAGCACATTTTTTGAATTTTATTTATGAGGCAACCTTGCTAAATGTCATTTGGGTTCTTTAAAGTGTAAATTGTGTTCTTTAACAGTACTAAAATATCATAAATCTATCAAAATATAACCAAGGCCCGCCAAATTTTTTGAATTCAACCCCTACTTGCTGTACTCTTTAATCGCACGCAGCTCTTACGGCGGTTGCATCCTATTCCTGGTCCCTCGCACAAGTTTGAACAGCTGATATTTTCACCACACCGTTCAAACACGGGCGTCGGGCCGGCGTCGAGAAATCGACGGGCAGAGCAAATGAAACCTCTATACGTTTCTTACTCTATGACATAGAGCATAGAGTAATAATGTATAGAGGCGTCATTTGCTCTGCCCGCGCTCTCGAGTGACTTTGCCAGTGATGCCACGTAGGGGAAAAACGGAAAAAAAGAGAGTTTTGCAAATGTTCGAATCGAGCTTCATTCCATGCCCATGGTGAGATTCTGCAGCTGGACTGGTCGCTCTTATTCCTAAGGATAGGTGCGAGAATTCCCCATACTATTGCTTGTGCCTCGCACATGTTAGAAGTGGTGAGAAACCGAAGTTAGAAGAAGTTAGCTTCGAACATGGCTCTCAGCAGAGCTTAGGCAGAGGCCTGGGCAGAGCAAATGAAACCTCTATATAGCTTCTTACTCTATGCATAGAGTAAGAAACGTAAACATTATTACTCTATGTCTTTGCTACTCCCGAAAAAAACAGTGTTGGTAAAAGAAACGATGCTTGCATCGATGTCTACATAACATCGCAATATCGATGTTTCTGCAGGGCATCGTCAATGTTTTTTCATCCCTAACGACTATTGAATGCACTGCTTACTGAAAAAAGTGTTAAGCAGCACACTGCTTAAAAGATTAAGCTGTTGTTTTAACAAAAGACTCTTGGTTTTAAAATGTTCTTTGTTTCCTTTATTATATTATGCAATGTAATGAGCTTCTTGACGGTCAAAAAAAATTGTTTTGCTCCTTTTGGTTAGTTCGTCTTCTGGGTATAACGACGTAAAATCGTCGGTCCCGTGAAAGTCGCTATAACCGGATTCTACTGTATATTTAATCAACTTAAGCATATCTATGCCCCATCAACATTTTGCAGTGAATTAAATAACCAACCTTATTATACCCTTGGAGAAGGTTTATTAAAAAGCACACAACATTGGTTCTGAACTACTTTAAATTTGGTTTGAAAATACCGTTAGATATTGGTATCCCAGAGCTACATTCATATCTTATCGATATTCCTCATATTTGCGTTAAGTTCTAAACAATCGATAGTCGTAAAATTTCTGTCGCTCCAGCTCTAGTCCGAATAGCAAAACAAAAAAAAATTCTAAACGAGCGGTTGTGTCGTCGAACGCAAAATAGCGCGCCTCCGCGAATGACGCAGACTAGAAGCTTCCACTTGGATGACAATCGGCCAAATAATTTCCAACAATAGCGGTGCACTTGCAAATTCCCGTTTCACCAGCATTGTGCATTGCAAGCAACAACAATTACCGCAAAGCAGTAGCAATAAAAACAGCAACAACAACAACAACAGGGAGAACGGCAGCTTCTTATTGGCGCATACAAAATCGCAATTTGGCCTCTTAAAAGTTTCTAAAACGGTGAGTAAATTGTGGCAGTGGTCCATTTTCAATTGAACTGTGAACTTTTTGCAAGAGTTTTCTTATGTAACGCAGCAGCTGAGTTTTACGTACAAATTGTTGCTGTGTTGCGCCGTTAGGTTGTTTGTGTTGGTGCCGTAGCGTCTGCAAAAAGTCACCCCCTTTTAGCCACCCCTTAATCGGCTCCTCCCCACTCTCTCTTGATTTGTTTATAAACATTTATACAAAAGCCGCAGTAACAACAAATCTCAAATTGTTTTTATCACATGAAGTACAAGGTTATCAGAGCCCCCGCATCCACCCCCTTTCCGTTTGCTCAATTTTATGCACACGCCATCATTTGCCAACAATAATGCCATGTTGTTTTTGTTGTTCTTTTGTTACACTTCTGCAGTGGCGTGCATAAGACGTTATAAAAGGGGGTCTTAAATCTCAAGGAGGTTTTTATAATGTTATGCATTGGCTGCATTCAAATTGCGACTTAACATTGCTGAACTTCTTATAAGGCAATACAATTTAACTGTTATTTAAAATCAACGAAAATATTATTTTTAAGGTAATTATTATTTTAATTTGAATTGTATGAAAAAAAAACATAGTTTCGAATAACTAAATGTAATTTTAAAGTTTTAAAAGACGTTCATATTTTATTTAAAGACATTTAATTTTACTCAAACAAATTATTTGATATATCCAGTAATGATTTGATTGTAACACGCTGGATACACAAGTTTAAATGTTGATTTATTTTATTACTCAGCACAACAAAATTTGTTTGTGAAAAAATATCTTGCTAAAACCCCCGTGATTACGAATGTACCAGAAGACTTAAAGCCCCTTTTGCAAGGGAAATTACTAAGAAATTGTGATTACCTCCTTTATATCAATAAATTCCCTTCGCAAGAGTATATTAGTCTCGAGGTGACTCGTTGTTTTTAGCTTGTTCGTGTTTTTAAATCCTCAAATCCACTCCCACCTCGTTGGTTCTGCAGCAGCTGTTGTTGCCACAGTTCCTGCTACTCTTGCGTGGGTGCTGGATATTTGTTGTTGCTGCTGGTGCTGTTATTGAATTTCCCTCCTTCGTCCTCGGTCATCATCCGCTGTCCTCTCCGTCGTCCTGCCCGCAGCCATTGTTTGCCGGACCCGGAATGGGCATAGCGGAGGGGGGGCAGCCGTGACCGTGACTGACAGCCCGTAACCCCAACACCTACCACATAGTGGACGATGTTATTGTTATCGCATACTTTCGCAGCCGCTGCACTGTGGCTGGAATAGCCAATATAAAGTACAACACATTAAATTGGTTTTTTAAGCATCCTTTTTAGTCACTTTAAAAAATCGTAAAATTCAGAGATAAAAAATGGACATAACACTTGAGTGGTATTTCTTTTTGCAAATAAGAGGAAATAATAATAATGTTTGAAATCCTTTGCGCCGTTATAAAATAAACATTTGTTGTTGTTGATGACTTAGAATAAGAAATGGTCGCTAAAGACGTGAACAGCGGAGTATATGTGTTTTTGCAATTCCGCCCACTGTCGGCCTTTTCTCTGCGGCTGCTGACTGAATTTAAAACGTGCCAAGTCCTGGTCTGAAAAATGAAGACGTATGAGCAGGGGCGAATGAGACGGTTTTGTTGCCAGTGTTGCGGTCGCTTTGTTGCTGCCGTATTTCTTTTTTTCTGAAATTTTAATTGCTTTGAGCAACAGTAGAAGCCCCAGGCTTGGAGCACCAAACACAATCCCGTCGAGCTCCCGAAAATTCCCCAAGAAGCACAACGAGTTGGAAAATGGCAATGCGAAACGTAACCGAAAGCAATAAATTCATAAATGCAAATAAAGTGCGAGCGTTGCTGTAGCTCCTGTTCTATGTATTTGATTCTATTTTTTATCCGGCTAGTTGACATGGGCGTATGCGTGGGCGTTTCTACTGCCAGCAACACAACACAATGACCTGGCTGTAAATCTCGACCTTGGCTTTGCATAGCGACCTTTGCTTAGCCCTGTCCTTATCCCCAATGCCACAAATTTCCCCGAATGCCCAGTGGCGCCCACTTGGCTGGGGCGAAGACAGATTCTCTCGCCATTTCCAATCTGGATTCCATTTCCCAGCCAGCTGTTCAGACTTTCAGATAAAGTGCACGCTCAAAAGAATCATGACAAATTAATACTTGTGAATAAAATGGCAAATCTTCGTGTCATGGCTAGCAAATGCGTATTTAAAAGAGATTTGGAAAAAGATACAAGGCAGTTGGTAGCAAACTATCAGCTGATACCAGCTATTAGACATAGCGAAGAAATGTAGACGGCCATTGAGCTATTATCACATTAAAGGCTTAAACATTATTGTATAGTATATTGATACATTGAAATTGCTTTTTTGACACATTTAAATTGCTTTACATTGTCCGATACTTTTAAACTACATTTTTTTTGTTGTATAAGTTTGAATGAGTTACTATTGCATATTATTAAAAAGTATTAGAGATATTCAATTAATTGTACTTAGGTATTTCCAAAAGTAATTTTCATGTCAGCCACGAATAAACTATTATCAGGGATTATTTAAACTATTATCAGGGATTGTTTAATGGAAAAACGTCGTGATTAGTTCTAAAAATGGATTGCTAAGGAAAAGATTATAAATGGAAGAAGTATTTTAAGAATAGCATTTGAGAATATTTCCCCTTGTTGAAAAGGTGATAAGGGTGGAATAAAAAAACGAATTCCAAAAAGCATTCCGTAAAACATGTTGCTAGAAATACTCGAAAACAACCCATTCTAAAGAGCCTGTAAAAAGCATATCAGACAGCATTGTGTATGAGCCGTCGTACAGGGCAAGGAAAGATCACTCGTCTTTGCTTTTGATTGGGACCGACCACAATCGACGGCGGACAGATATAGGAGTGCGTATATTTGCCCAGAAAATTATGTATACGCAGCGTTTCCTCATTGAGCGGCGGTGCTGCTGACGCAAAATAAATGAAACGATTTCAAAATAAAAGCAACTCATATTTTTCCCGTTCCGATTGGGGTCTGTTGTCGCGTCTGTTGTCCATTTTATGCTATTTCTGTTTGCGTTTGCGTTCGCTTTTGTTTTGTTTTCTAGCTTCTTTGCCGTTCTGTTGCCTTTTTGCCCGGGCTTGCCAATTGATGAATTGAGTACAGACCGCTGCCGTCGGCTCTTTCGTCAATTGGTTTGACTGGATCTAGCTGCAGTTGCACTGACGTCACGTTTCAGAAATGGTGCCCCTAACTCACTTAACACATCGACCTGATAGGCATCGCCGTCGATTGTACTCGACTGTATGCGATTTGGCTTGACTTGAGGTATATGCGGGCTGTAAACGTCTCAATTAACGATAGTCACAATGGCCAAATGTTATCTTTTTGGGCTAGTGGTCTAGATGGTGCGTCAGTGGGTACTGTCAGCGATAAGAAGCGAGGGGACTACCGTGGCCATGATTTATGATAACAAGCGGGTTTCAACTGGTTGAACCTAACCTTGAACTGCTGATAAAGTTTTTCGGTCAGCACAAACGCTAAACTCATTTGGGGGCAATATTGGAACCAAAAACCACTGAAAGCAAAGGGTAATCCCCTTTCCAAATCACCGACTTTCGGCAGCACATGTCGGCGATGGCTGCCCTTAATATAAATCGCTTTTGCATAGCTAAGTTGGCCAAACTATTTTCGTGTCAAATCGCTGACAAGACAGGCCCACACAGATATACACATGGAGGCACACAGTTGCGGATGACAGGCGACAACAAAGGGGCCGGTCTGGTCTGAGGGCCGTGAAAACTCCCCGGAATCGCACAAGGACATTGAGTGATAACAATCCAATTTGTAAAAGTGGTGGGCGGGGGTGGGTGACCTTTGACGGATGTGTAAGCCACATAAGAATTTGCAATTTCGATTAAAGGTCATTTAAAATGCCAGATATTTTCGGCCCGAAAAGTTTAAGGCAATCGGACAAAACCATTTCTCATATTCACTTGGTGCCAATTTGTTTATAAACCTATTGCGGTGCAAGCCATCGGTGTGTAAATGATTTAATTAACAGCTCATGCCTGGAAGTGGCGGGCAATTACGAAAACCTGATATTGTCATGCAATGCCAAAGGTAAATTCAGCAAATTCAGTAATACTCCCTTGGATGCTGTGCGCAGTTAACAGAGGTCTCAATATCAACAAAGCCAGTTGTTATCATGTATGCCCCTTGCGACTAGCTGTCCAATGAATGCTGGGATTACGTTTAATGAGTCCACAAAACAAACCCACACAGTTCGCAATTGAATTAGTAAGAGCTTTCGGTACATACAGTGCGAAGCAGAACTGAAACAGAAAGTTTATTCTGAACGTAAATTGAAACTTTTGGCATAATTAATTCGTTTATTGAATTATGCGAGAACGAAATGGAATGGCCTATTAATTGGTATTACCTGAGTGTATTTCTCTATGACTTATTATTCGTTCTTTATCAGAGAAAATATTTATATTTGCTTACAATTTAATAATATTTAATACAGCGGGTTAACTAAATTGCATTATATTAAAATGTTTGCTTTCGTTAATCTTCTTGCTAATTCGGATGTTAGCTTTATAATAATGTCACGCTGTGTAGACAGTAAACAGAATACCCGTTGATTTGTATCCGAAAGCGAAGCCATTTTGCATTTTACACACATGGTACATGAGACCAATCAATGTCCTGCCAATCAGCTGTATTTGTTCCGCTCCACCCACAACCGCCCACACATGTTGGCCAACTCCCACGCATAACCGCCCACACTAGGTAAGCTTTCGGTGAACGTTTCACCTTTGGCAGTAATTAACAAACCACAGCAGCCGTGAAAGCAAAGTCGGTTTTTGTGGAGCTCACTTACAGAGGCCTGAGTTGTGGAAAAGTTGGCTTACTTTCAGGCGCAGTCCATAGATATGTTAGGTGCATTTCAATTTCTAACATTACATTTCTCAGAAATTACTGAACTTGTGCCAGGAGCAAATGCGTATCCCGAACAAAGGAAAGTTTCAAACTAATTAGGATTTAATTAATTTCGTCGAAGAAGCTTTCAGCAATGACTTAAGTTTCACACACGTTTCGCGTGACCTTATGAGCCTTTCACTACCTAACGACCATTCCTGACCGCCTGACCTTTTGCGTTCGCCTTGAAGGGATTCCGGTTGCAGCAACATGTGACATGTGGCAAACGAAGCCGACACTTGCAGGCTTAAATATGAGCAGCAGCATCCACAGCCGCCGCAAGTAACTGTAATAACGAAACCACGCTTCTGAGCTCTGCGAAAAGACCAGGAAGAATTTAATTAAATTCCGAGCGGTATACATCAATCGCAAATATCTGGCTCAGGCGGGAAATGTGTCGAGGGAAATTGTAAAATTTCATCAGAAAATCAAATTAATCTTGCCCCAACGTTACATATTTGCATTTGCATTGAAATAGGGTAAACTGAAACTGCAACTACAGCTGCAACTGTAATGGAGAGTGGAAACGCACTCGTGGGATTTGCCGTTTGTCACGAAAACGAGACGATAATGTAAATAGGGCCACAATTCATTCAATTTCACATACGCACACGAGCGGACTACAATTTAAAAAGTTAACCGCTTTAAGAATTTAAAGAAAAGAGTGAATAGTTTTTTTTGTAACGATTTCAAGGGTGGCTTGGTTAATTAGTTCTTAATAAAGTCATTTATGGTGTATCATAGTTTAATTATATAAAATGTACTTATTGTCTTTACTTATGTGGACATTTTTAGGGATTCTTAAATCTCTTTTATAAATTTTGAGTGACTTAAAGCGGCCGTCTCACATGATTGAAAGAGCTCTTGAGTGTCTTTGCGGTGGCTTACGTGCAGACTACTTACATCTCAAAATCGGCAAAGTCTCTCATGGCGGGATGAGCGGAGGGATGGATGGATTGTTGAATGAATGGATATATGGATGGTTGGTTAGAGAGCAGGATTCTTGGGACGGACGGCGGCCACTTGATATAATGATGACAGCAATTATGACTGAGTGAAGGTCGCTGACTAAAGACCGGCAGGCAATTCATCATCATCACGGCTCCGCCTCCCCAGAAAGTGGGCGGGGTTGAGAGCTACTTTTGTCTAGTTTAAAGTGTGCTTTCGGCCCGCTTTTTATAGATTGCGTGCAGGAACGATGACGTCACACCGGGGCAGAGCAATTTGCATGCCAGCAGCTCGTTTATGCTGACTTGCAGTTGCCGTCCTCATCGTGCTGCTCCTGAGATAGGGATCAAGCTGCTCAGCAAACAAAGTACACACGTCATGGACGAGTTTCACCCATTTCCTTGGATTGAAAAACCATATAGCCACATCCCCATTTCCAATGGTAGCAAGAAGTAACAATTGTGTGGGTGTGTCCTTTCAAGAAAATCAATCATCCGGAAATAGATCAACTCGTCGTTGTGTTCTTTTTTTGGCCTTTGTTTTTATTGTTAGCTGCGCGTTTTTGTTGCCTCTCTGCTCGTCTACGCTGAGGTGAAAGTCAACAAAAAACGTGGCCATAAAAAGGAAAGTGAAAGCAAAAACAAACACTCAGCCAGGACAATTCGGAAAAAGTGGTTACTAAGTCGCGTCTGGAGCGCTTTAAAACCCGGCACTTGGCCTTGTCATCACATTAAGTGGTTATTCATTCGGAGTGCATAAGTAAGATGGCCTATCACAAATGGGGTGTTGCAATTTAATCTAATTAAAAAGCAATCCACTTCACATTAAGAACCGTTTTCTTGCGTGCTTACAATTTATCAAGATCTTAAAGAAAATATTCCTTACTCGACAGAGATAAACAAATTATTTAAATTTAAGTTTCTCAGGATGTGTACATAACAACTATGATTTCTATAGAATTGAATACCAAACCTAGATTGGATTTTTTGGATCCAGTGACTTTCTTTTAAGAATTCAGAAATGCAATTGCTCGATTTCAATTGTCAGTTATCAGTTAGCATACTTAAATTACAAATTACAAAATCTAATTAAAATGTTATTAACAGGATTTTAATTTATGACAAAAGTATTGATCAAGAAAACCAGACTTTGTCAGCTTCTGCCCCCAAACCCAGTTAAGCCAAATTTCAAACAAAATTTACCCTACCCAAATAGATACAAAGAACCATTTGCATTTGGCTATAATGGTTGCCCCCCGGGGATAAACAGCGTATAATTAACTCACTGCATATTGCTGATTCATGGGGCAAAATAAAACACTAAGCGAAATGCTATTTTTATAGCATACAAATGGGCACCCATCTAAAACCAAGACTGGCAGCTATTATTATTATTATAATAAAACACACTAAGAGTTCCCTTGGATTTTTAGGGAATGGGTTTCATGTCGGTCACAGGTGCGAAAGGCAGACACACGTCACCATTTTCGTCCTGACGCCAACAACGCGGCGCCAAGTCCACATTCATTCATTCATTCACAAAAAATTCGCCACTATTAATCACCAGTCTGGCGCTTTCCCTTCTCTGTAAGTTTGTGCCAAGCAGGCATAACAATAAAATCAAGAGCAGTTGTGAATCAACAGTGCGTCACCATCGGATCCCCCAGGCACCCAACCCCTTGGTAGACCTATTGATTAGCTTCACGTGTCGATACTTAAGTCCTCGCCTTGCGGCGCTCCACTTCCTCCTGTTCTCACCCTTTTACAAACTCAGACAAGTCTGTAGTTTTCAGTCTCGTAATTGGTTGAAGGGCTGCGGGTTTCGTGGAAGGAGTAAGCAATTTTTATTGTCGTATCGTGGTGCTTGAAATTCGTTACACACTGTGTTACGTAAACAAAAACGTTAGTACAATGCTGGTCGATGGTGTCTTTTACCCAACACCCTCGGCCTTTGTATAAAATTAATTTGCAAGCGCTGTTTACCAATATTATAGAAATGTTTGGAGGTGAAGGGCAACCAGCTGACAGTTCTATTTATGGAAAATGTCACTGACTTGTTGAATCCAATTACTGTAAAGTTTTTGCGCTTAGGGCTATAATTAAAGACCGTATGTGTATAAATATAGCAGTAAGGATTTTCACAAAAAAAACTCTTTTAAATACCAGCTGACTTCCCACAAGGATTTGACCTTAAAATTATGCTAATGGTTTTTAATATGCTTAGCAATAATTAATTTCTTGATATTATAACCAATTTTGGAGCAACATAAATATTGCTCATGATAAGTAAGCTTTAGATGCAAACACATCGCAGTTCTCAAGGTATTTTTTCATCAGTCTTTCAAGAAGACTTAAATAAACTTGAAAATATGTCAAGTGAAAACTTTTACGAATGTGAATTAATCTTAATTAACTTTATTATCGACTGTTGCTTTTACTTTTAAGCTTTTCAGAAATAGAAACTTGTTGAATTAGTTGAAACTGATTTTCTTTCTGCTTTCAGCCAGCCATGTCCGACGCGGCCAAGTCCAACAACAATGCGTCTGCCGATGCTCCTGCTCAGGCCACTCCAGACGCCGCTGGAGGACCTGACGAGGTCAATGAGGGCGCTCCGACAACTCCCCGAGGCAATCACAACAACAACAACAGCGCCAACGGCAGTGGCAAAAGCAAGAACAAACTGAAGTCGACGCAGAACAGCAGCGGAGGCGGAAGCATTGACAAGCTCTCGCCAGATCAGGACATCTTCATCAACGCCGCCGACGGTCTGCCCAACCAGCATCCTTCGCTACCGAAGGAGGGCGACGTGGACAGCGACACGGAGCCGGAGGTAGACGCAGACTCGTTCGACGACCTACCCACCTCGATCATCGTGACCAACATCCACTCGGAGGTGTTCGCCAACCCGGAGCTGAAGCACGCCATGGAGGAGTTGTTCCGCACTTTCAGCGAATCGGCCACGTTCCAGTGGCTGCGCAGCTTCCGCCGCCTGCGGGTGAACTATGACAACGCCATTGCGGCGGCCAATGCGCGAATCAAGCTGCACCAGTACGAGTTCAACAAAAAGACGGTAATCACCTGCTACTTCGCCCAGCCGGTGACACCGGTCAGCAACAAAAACCTGCAGCCGCCGGCGCCGGTCAAACAGTTCCTTATCTCGCCGCCCGCCTCGCCACCAGCCGGTTGGGAGCCACGCGAGGAGGGCGAGCCACTGGTCAACCACGACCTGCTGGCCGCCCTGGCCAGCCTCACGCCCGGCGAGTCCCACGAGCTGCATCCACAGAGCGAGGACCAGCCGGCCATTATTGTGCATACGGCCATGCTGGCGGAGAGCGGACCGGGACTGCAGGTTAAGGCGCCTATCGTCCAGACCAAGTGCCCAGAGCGGGCATAATCATCAGGTGGAGACGAAGTTGAAGCTGAAAACATAAGTTGTACATCCAAACGAACAGGACAACGGGCTGGGACTCATGCTCCGCGGTAGGATGGGGCTTGGATTGAGTATTTTATGTAAATATTATCCGATTCAATTGTGATTAATTTACACATACATATATTTAGCTACGTTCGTATGTTTGTATTACTAGGCACTCGAACCCCCATACCAGACATACTTTCCCACCCTTCCTTTGAAGTGTAGCATTTACCCCAATTGGCTTCTGATACAAGTTCTTTGGCTAGCAGCCGCATCTAGATGTGTTTATCTCTCGATTTGAGTGTGTCTATGTGTATGAATATCGATGTTAACCCATCGCGATTACCTGCTAACGATATCTCTATCTCTCTGTACCTTCGATGGGAAATCGCTGCCAGAGGCGCTACCGACAACCGCGAACCGAAATCCCAGATATAAAGCTACTATGTCTATGTAAATGTTAATGTAATTCTAAGCCAGCGAAATTGTGTAACGATATCGTATCAGATATCGGAATACAAACGTATATAACTCTATATGCCTACGTGTAGTTAAAATTTAAATTGAAAATATATTCAGATTCGAAATGAATGTTCTCAAATGTACCAAATAAAACAAAAAAAAGAAATACCGAAAACGAAACAAAAACAGCAAAACAAAAAACAAAACTCTGTTACAAATTTAATTGACGGGTGCTGCAGCAGGAAAAGCTGTGGGGAAAGGGCAGCGATGGGTTATGGATTTGACATTGGAAATCCCTGTCGACAATTGGCAATTCGATAGTGCAATTGAGTGGAAATTACTGGAAACTTTGCAAGGTCAGAAGAACTCGAATTGGTTTTTGGGGCAGAGAATAAACTTAAATTGGGGAAAGTTCTCTAAAGCTTTGTGGGGATTTTTCGTAGAGCTAAAGAAGAAGCGGAAAAACTATCACTTAATTCGTGAAATGGCTTATAATATGTATATATTTTTGCTTTTCTTAAAGCTTATCAGATATTTCTACATTTGTAAAAGGTTAAAGCATTTTGTATTCTACTATTGGGGTTATCACCTTTTCAGACTTCAGATCGATGCTTGGATGATTCTGCCTAAAATTAGGCAATACTTTTTAATGGAAGGAAGAGTCTTTGATAATTTGGATATAACTTACTGTTCCAAAAGAAATACACACAAATTTATAAACAACTTAAAAGGCCGCAGTAAGGTAAGTCCACATGCAGTGGCTTTCCATGCTCTACAGCATAATTTTATTCACACGGAATGGATAGCATTTCTTAAAACTTACTAATAGGCAGAAGTGTAAAATTCTTAACAAGAAAAACAGGGTAACAAGGAGTTTGAACTGGATGTGGGACATGTGTACAATCATCTTTGGCTTCTTTCTACTTCCTCTCAATATTCTTTAGCGGCACCATCTGCTCGGGATCGTCGGGATAGACGCTATTCTGGCGCTTCTTGCGACCAGCACACTGACTGAACCAGGTATCGCCCTTGCCAAAGTTCTCGCCGTCCTCAATGGACTCGGGCATGGGCTGGTTCATCGTCTCCGGCAGGAACATTACCCAGAAGCCCGACAATAATGCCACCACGCCAAAAAGTACGGCGGGAATCTTCGGGTCGAAGGAGTCGAGCAGCGTGATGAGGGGAGTAAGGGCGCCTGAGAGACGAGCGCACATCGAACCCAATCCCATGGCCGAGTTCCGCACCACGGTGGGAAACAGTTCCGCCGAGTAATTGTAGATGACGGCAAAGGATCCGGCGATGAGGAGCTTGCCCGCCATCACCACGCCCGTGGAAGTGTTGCTGCCCTGGGCAATGAAGGCGGCCACAATGCAGCATAGACCTCCACCCAGCATCAGAGTGGAGGTGATCGACCGACGACCCAGGCGATCCAGCACGAACACAATGGTTATATAGCTGGGGAACTCCACCAGGCCCATGATGAACAGGATCAGGTAGGGATTACCGTACAATTTGCCGGCACTCAGCGACAGGCCGTAGTAAACGAGGGAGTTGGCGAACCAGCAGAGGCACACGTTGAGGGTCTTCATCCGCAGGTTGGGCGTACGGAAAAGATCGCCCAGTCCAGCACTGGTCTTCTCCTCGACCGCCGCCTGCTGCTTGGCCTTCTGCACGTAGTACTCCTTGTCCACCGGTATACCCGATCCGTTGATCCGCAAGCCCTTGGCCACAATGTCCACCGCCTCGGCGGCACGGCCCTGCATCCACAGCCAGCGCGGAGATTCGTCGAGCAGCCACCAGTGGCCCAGGAACAGGCAGCCGTGCAGCCCGTAGATCACCTGCAGCCACTGTCGGTCATGGATCAGTGCTCCCCATCCCGCCACCAACATGATGCCACCAGCGAAGACAGCCTGAAAAAGATCACAAAAGATTATTTCATATAAGTATATTGACAACAAAGATAAAATACTAAGTAGACGTAAGAAGATACAAATTTAATAAGATTTTACTAATCCTAAGAGTTCTAGGTAGGATGGTGATTGTGGAAAGTAATCAGTACTAATAGTATTTAAAAATAATCTCCAGTAAAGAACACAATATTTTAAAGGGAATTGTTTTGTTCTGCGAAATTAATTTCTATTACTGAAAAGAAATCGTTGACAAAAAAAAACAAAATCATCGATCTTTAGAGATATTTCTCACCTGGAAGGTAATGCCGCATACAGTGCGTTTGGTGGGTCCCACCAGCTCCATGGTCAGTACGAATCCGCAGATGTAGGCACCCGCTGATCCCACAATGCCCAGCAGATAGCGAGCCACCATGAATGAGAAGTACTCGGGAATGAAGGCCACACCCACGCCGATGATCAGTTGGAACAGGGCCGACCAGCAGAACACGGTCTTCCGGCCAATTTTATCGGCGAGTCCGCCAAGGGTGACGGCGCCGGTGAACACGCCCAGCATGAACACCGTCTGCACAATGGCCCCCATCCAGCGGCGGTCGCACACAAAGTTCCAGTCGATGGTGCGCGAGGTCTTGTAGTACGTCGTGTCGTATACGTAACTTGTACACGCAACGGTATTGTTGGAACCCGGGGCAGAAGGATCGAACATTAAGCAGGATTCCAATTCACCATTGGGCTTCTGGGGAATGGCGGCCAAGATGGCGCTCGAATTCCACGGGGTCACCGATAGATGACTGTTGTCCACGCCCTCGATGAAGCAGCGGTGCTCGGGAACAGCGGCCACTGTGACCAAGGAGAGCATGTGCATGCCAGCTGTGAGGCCGGAAAGCACCTGCAGGAAGAACTGCAGGAACTGGTACTTCCCAAATTCCCCTGAAATAACAAATCAGAACAATCAGAACAATTTAAAATTCATTCGAAGGGTCATAAATATATAAGAAATTATTCAAGTGAGCTATCAACAAAAAACCTACACTTTTTCCCTTTTTTTCGTTGGAAAAGTGTCAAAAAACTGCACTTCTAAGCCCATAACTTTTCTTATAGTCATCCGATTTCAAAAAGGCATACTACTAAATAATTGTAAATTTGATTTTATATTTTGGTCGATTTTCGTCATTTTTATCGAAAATGGCTTGCAAAAAAGTGAAAAAATTTTTTTTTAACCCTATATTTTTTTTTTAAACATCCGATTTCAAAAAGGCATACTACTAAATAATTGTGGTTTAATTCTCAAAAAATCTGTTTTCAAATCTTGGTTTATATTTTTGGGTCGATTTTTCGTCATTTTTATCGAAAAATGGCTTTGCAGAAAAGTGTCCAAAAACTGCACTTCCAAGCCCATAACTTTTGTTACCGACATCCGATTTCAAAGTGGCATACTTCAAAATGATTGTGGTTGAATTCTCTAAAAAACTGTATACTCAGTTTGATTTGTAATTTTGGGTCGATTTTTCATCATTTTTATAGTTTGGAAAAATGGCTTTGCAGAAAAGTGTCCAAAAACTGCACTTCTAAGCCCATAACTTTTGTTACCGACATCCGATTTCAAAGTGGCATACTTCAAAATGATTGTGGTTTAATTCTCTAAAAATCTGTGTTTAAATCTTGGTTTATATTTATGAGTCGATTTTTCGTCATTTTTAATGAAAAATGGCTTTCATAAAAGTTTCTAAAAACTGAACTTCTAAGCACCTAACTTTTCATACAGAAATGACTGATGTTTAATTCCCTAAAAATCTGTGTTTAAATCTTGGTTTGTATTATTGCTATTTTTATGACCTCTTACTTTGAAATAATTGTAGTTCATTTCGTGCTTTATTCTTATTAAACGATAAAATAGTTTTCGATATATTTGCAATTAAAACTCGTATATGTTTTAATGTATTTCTATTCAAAGCACTAACATATTAAAAAAAATACTAATTCAATTATAAATTACTATAGTAATATACGATATCATTTCGCAATCACCACGTTTCTGCGATAAATGCGCCAGTGATGGATAAAACCTAAGGAAACACCCGACTTTTATGTAGATGCGAACTTTTTATGGGTTTCGCTGGCATTGTCGTCACTCCAAAGGCTTTGCAATTAAATCAAGTGGAATTTATTCAATTCGATTTCAATTGAAGCGCATTCGAATGGCCCGTCAAATATTTGCCCACAGTTTGGTTTGGTTTAGTCCATGTTTGCCTGCTCTATGGAGACTCGAATGTCTTCGGAGAATGCATTGAATCGATTATGACTTGCGATCGCGTTGTCGGAGGGCAGGGCTGTGTAAATTTCTATCAGCATGGGCAGTATGTAGCCTAGATACGAGAATTTGACACTTGAGCGGTCCAATGTTCAATCAGCCGTTTCAATTGATTTGTGGGTTACGCTCATTGATCGTTTAAGTGAAACTATTGCCATCAAATCGAAAGTTACGTTCACCCCGGTTATGTTAGAATCGACAACTCGTGAGTAAATCGTCTGCGAATTTAAATTTTCATAATTGAAACGATTGCGTAGAGTGTAAAATTATGTCATCGAGAGTGTAACATTAATTTAAAGCCAGATGAGCATGTCTCAATTAATTTCAATTTAAAATTTTGACTCAATCTCTCATTAAATTCAATTACACCCCCAATAGACATAATAAGCGCATAATTGCCAACAAGCTAGGCAATCGATAAAGCGAAATCATGATAACCAAACCCAGAATAGTAAATTCGCATGGGGAAATCATAGTGGATTATCAGAGGCCACTAAATGCTACATCATATATCAGCGCTGTTGTTATGGCGGATTTATTACATCCGACCAATATGGCTGGCCTTATTATTGTTGCCAAGTGGCCCTTGAATATGACATTTGTTTTCGGCTCATTTAATGTTTGTAGTTCTCTTTAATAGTCAGTTCTAATGATGTATTAAAAGTGCAGATTGCACACTAAATTAAATATAGGGCAGGTTTAGAGAGTTGTTTACTCTGGAAGCAATATAAGCGATAAGTGAATTGATAAGGTCATGAATTATAACAACACTCTGCTGATACAGCCTACTTTTTACTCATAACACATTGAATTTAAATTAGTTTCACATTACGTTTTAAACTAAGTAATTTAATTTTATGATGCATTATACGTACATTAGTTGCTTAATTGAAACTTTCACAAATTCTTGTTTGTATTGATTGAGGTAGATCAGGGTTTTATATTACTAGTCTATGGCTTCCGTTTATGGCTTGGTCCGTTTTCCTTCGTCTTTCAACGTTTTTTCTTCACTCAATAGCAAACAACTGAAGGTCGATTCAGTTTTGTTCTGGGCTCCACAAACAGCACATGTGGAAGCTCTTTCAAAGTCACTGTAAGTTGGTGGTTTTATTTCAACCTTCCTACGACCAGAAAGTCACGAATTCAGCATTGTAACACGCCTCCAAATTCGAAGTAATTGGAGCTTTCTGCCTAGCAAAGAGGCCTTCAACAAAAATAAATACCCATATAAGAGCGACATGTGAATTATGAGGGCCGAGGGGTTTGCAAGTGAGGCTTAACAAACCGGTTTAAGTTTTTTGCATTTCACAGATACAAACGTATAAACATATTACGATTAAAAAGTCTCTAATGCGTTCATTAATCCCTCTCCATCTCCTGGCACTTTCTTATAGGCTGCGGTTTCTCGACTGCTAAGTAAAAAACCAGTTTCAGATCGTTACCCATGGAAGGTGTTTGCAAAAACTGTAGGTGTTCTAAGCCAAGATCAAATGGTTTTAATTAAGGAAATTTGTCTGTTAATTTAACAATCCAAATCTAAAATTATTTTATAAAAAGTAGCTCATATGATAGATTGACAGTAATTCTAAAAAAAAACTTGTACTATAAATATATGGTTTTTACTTTAGACAAGTTCAGTTTCCACTGAATTCCCACAATTATTATTAACTGTTTTGCATAAAGCAAATAAACAAGCTTGTTTTTCTAGATCCCACAAGCTAACTGCAATGTTTAAGCCGCGCCATACGAGTGCACAATAAATTAACTGAAAAGACGACAGAGATTCGTAGATCCGAAAATCTTTATGACAGGCCCACCATAGAGTCTTGTGACAAAAACTCAGCAGATACAGCCCCTTTTTCCACCCGTTTTTGTTTGCTTGTTAGCCACGCTCGTTTTAGCGTCAGTGTGCTAAAGCCAAGAAGGTTCAACAAGTGTCAGACAGCCTCCAGCTCACAACTGGGCCCACACGAACATGTGTCCATATAAGTGGGGGCAACAAGTTGGAGTCTCAATCAAGCTGGCATAGTAGTCTGTCACTTGCCGCGGCCTTGCGGATTAATTAAATTAGAAATAGTGCGAAAACAAAAAGCAAAAAATAGGTGTAATTAAAATGGTTCTAAAGGCGGCTTCTTTTGATCACTTGACGGACAGCCAGCCGGATAGATTAGTCGGAGATTTAAAAAAAAATATTGAAAATTTAATTATGAAATTTGAATGCAAAACAGAACCTTGGCGATAAACCGACACCGCCGGCGTAAAATCAAACATTATCCATAGCCGCTTGCATTGCTGATAAGACCTCTCAAAATGATAAGCATAACACTAGCTCTTATCAGCATGGGATGGAGACGCCTGGCAACGTAACAGCCGACCTTTCAAAAGTCTTTGCTCCAAAACTCAATCCACCTCACCTAGTTTTCCCATGAGGTCCTCTAGCACATAATCCACAGCCATTTTCGCTTTATATTGCCGACGTTATTCGAGGATGATATATGGTAGTTCTTTTACTATGGCCTTTCAGCAAATCGTCATCTTCCGAAGAAGTGGAGCGAGCATGGGCAGAAAACACTGATAGTTATGGTTCGCGAAGACGGATCCGACACAAACAACGTGCTCGAAAGTTTAAACCGCGGGCGGGTGCGCTCGATCAGCTATCAACTCTTCCGACCGCCGGCAGCATTTGAACTGGCAAATACTGACTGCGAACTGTTCCGCTCAGCGAGAAAATCGAATGGCCCATGGAGCTCCGGCTGAATAACACACACACTAGGTGGTAAATGGCGATAAGGTCGCTCCAAGCTCAAATGTGGAGAGAGCTTGTGGATCGCGGGTCTTGAGTGGGTCTCCAATGTTGGTGGGTAAAAACTATCTGTGGTGGATGGTAAACGCTTTAGATTTGATCCCATCTCACTTGCCTTGCATTGATAAATGTCGAACTTAATAACAACCCTTCACTTCCCTGCAATTAAGAGTTTAATAAATTTCGAACTATCTATTTTAAGAATTCAGAGAAATGATGGGTCATAAAAAGATAACGAGTTTTGTAATAAGTCTCACATTTAATCCAATATTAATGCCTAAAATGATCTAGTGAAAAAATTCAGAGAAATGATGGATTATAAAAGATAACAATTTTTGTAGTGGGTCTCACTTTTAATCCAATATTAATTCCGAAATTGTATTTTATATTTGTTATGAAACACAAATCTCAAACTCAAGCAAGCTCTGGTTTATCCCACAACACCGCATAAACAAAATTTAATGTTATCATTCTAAAAGAAATATAGAAAAATAAACACAAAAAACCCTACTAATATTTAAAATTATGTGTGAGCCAAACTTTTCAGATCCATCATCATTCCTGTATTTGGATATGCTGGCAGATATTTTAATGCGCGATGCCCTTGAGTTGGAATCTGATTTCAACACCAAAATGGAGTTCATCAAGGAACAGGAGCAGATGTGCTTGGACAATGCCAAGAATGTTTGGGAAACCAAAGACTATGGATAAACAGATAACCAATTTTCTTTTCCTCCCAGGTATTTTCAGTTGACCAATTCCTGGGATCAGTAAATTGCTGCATGCTAAAGCTGGAAATGGATCTCAATGAGAACGAGACCAACCTGATCGAGATGGAGAAGGCAGTTACTCGATTGGAGCAGAGGTGCCCGAGATCTGATAACGAGGCTAGTCGGACTTATCCTTTAGCTCGAGTCACCTACGAAGATCTTCTTAGTTTGCTCATGTCCGCGGATAAAACTGCCGCTCAGTGCAACCACATAAGGGAGCAAATCGAGATGTACAACAAACAGGCGGCTGAGCAACTAGCTCCTGCCACAGTGGTAAGAAATACTCAAATACAATTTGACCATCGGTTGTATAAGTGTAATCACAGGTTGCCAAGATAATTGATTACCACAATAATACCCTGGCGTCACTTGAAAAGCAGATCGAAAAGATGCAGGGTCAGGTCACCCAGGTCCAAAGGGAGTATGAGCAGCTAAATAGGGACCAGGAATCCAACAGAGCCGCCGCCCAGTGCTCCTGCAAAAAAACCAAGAACTCAAAGCCAATTGACATATGTAAGATACAACTACGCATGTAATCCGACAACTGATAACACAATATATCCATACGAATATTATAAATGCTTACAATGCTGAAAGTTCAACTTTGAGCTTAAGATTAGGTTTGGTCTTTTGGGCTTAAATGCTAGTTGTTGGCATCGCGGAAGAAGAGCACATCGTCGGCAATGATGCTGGTGCTGGTCTTCTGGTTGCCTTGCTGGTCAGTGATCTCTCCGTATGTGATCTTGCCCTGCACCATGGTGCGCTGCCCCTTCTTCAGGTATTCCAGCACGGTGTCGCGCAGATTGGGCTTGAACACCACCACACGATGCCAGTCGGTGCGTTGGGCCCAGTCGCCGTTCTCGTATCTGTGGATAACAGTGGGGTTTTAATTAGAATGTTCGTTATAGCAACGCAATGCATACAGTTGCGGTCAAAATAATAGTAGTGCCGGTTAAGCAACAAGTTTTTTCTCAATATTTTCTCCATTTCTTCAAAAATTCAATTCATTTTTTACATTAGTAACTGTAATTAACTGCTCTATAATAATCGTAGTTATTTTCGATTCTCGCCTTTATTTTTATTCTTTTCGCCTTCATTTGCAAAGATTCACGTGTTAGACTCAGTCATAATAATAGTAGTGCCAGAGAAATTAGCAAGAATAATTTAGTTTACTTAATTTGAAAAGAGTTTTGTGGTGGTTAATAATAGTTTTGGGTGTTATTTAACAGTCCCAAGTATTTTGAGATTTTTCTTTAACATTCAGTCCTGACTACATGGGGCGTGGCAAACTCTATGCTGCCGAGAGGCGAGATCTGATTTAAAACTTGATTTCTGCTGAGAAAACTTATGTCGAAGTGCAAAATATTATTGGCTGGTCTTCACAATGGTTAGAAATGCTAAAAAATATGAGCCAGCAAATGAAACGCCTGGTCGACTCAAGATATTGGACAAAGGTCAGTGGATCGCTCGAAAGACAGTCAAGAATCGAACCCTTCTCGTCTGCTCATCCCTAAAAAACTTGTAACTAAATGCAAGTTTGGAAACATTAAGAAGACGAGTCAGAGATAATAACCTCATTTCAAAAGTCCAAGAAAATGCCGTCACTCACAAAAAACATGCCGCGAAACGTTTAAAGTTCAAAACGTCTCTGAATGGCCATTGGAGAAGTGGAGGAATATTTTGTGGTCGTAGAGTCTAAAATAGTTTTGTTTGGAGGCCGTGACACTCGGCAGTTTATTAGACGACCACCCTTATGTGTTTTTCTCCGAAATATACCTTAAAATCGGTAAGGCACGGTGGTTCATCAATTATGATTTGGCCAAGCTTTTCATACTATGGAGTTGGGCCAGTATATTATTAACGGTCATGGACCGTTATTTATATGTCAAAATTTTAAACGAAGTGATGCTTCCATATGCTGCCGAGGACATGCCACTTGTTTGGACGTTCCAACAGGACAACGATCCCAAACATACGAGTAAACTCGCCAAAGAGTGGTTCGCGGCCAATCAAGTTAGTGTCATGGAGTGGCCTGCACAGTCACCCGATCTTAATCCAATGAAAATTTATGGTGTGACGTGAAAGAGCAGTCTCGAAATAGGACCAAAGAATAACATTCAACTTTGGAAGCTGACAAAGGTCTTGGAGCTCTATTCCAGTGAAGAATGTCAAAATTTAGTTGATTCCATGCATAAGCTGCGCCGTTATGCAAACAAAGGATATGCAACTAAATATTAAAATAATCCTTAAATATAGGTCTATTATATACATTTAATCATTTAATCTTTAAACGTTTTTTGGCCGTGGTGAATTTTAAAAGTTTCACTACTATTATTTTGAACGAACAAATTTTGGTAAAATTCCACATTTTTATTTTTTTTTTTTAAATCTTATGAATTATCCTAAGTTGTTATGTATTTTTATTACCTACTATTAGCTGAGTTTCAATGAAAATTAAAAACATTTTGCAAAGACGTTTCAAAAGTTATTTTTTTGCGGTTTTTAGATAACCTCTGCGGGCACTACTATTATTTTGACCGCAGCTGTATGTAACTCGGATTTTAAATGTGTCGATTTTGTCGAATTTGATATAGAATTAATGAAAATAAGTTATTTTATATAGACCAAATCATCTTTACAGGGAGAATTATTAGTATTTAAAGTACACTATTCATTTAATAGTTAAGTAATACGAATATTTTAGCTTTAGAAATTACTATTAGGTATATATGAGCAACTGAAGGTATCAAAAACTCATTAGGTACCATTTCAATCGAAAAATCGCATGTTAAATAGAAAACAATAAGGAAAGGCCCCCGACTGTTAATGCTTCCTTGGAGATTCAAATTCAAGTTCAGTTGGCGAACACATGCTGGGCGCACACACACTCGTGCAATCGGGTACTCACTTGTAGTTCGTGTGTGTGGCGACGGAGAAGGTGACCACTGGATGCTCCTGGGATCCTCGCAGCTGCGGATCGGCCCCAACTCGTCCCAAAATGGTAACCGTGTTGACGGCTGCATTTATTTAGCGAACAATTAAAGCAATTTCACAACTAGTAACAAAACACTACTCACTTTTTTCAATTTTGGCGGGCGCCGCGGACGTCGTGGTTGTTGCACCGCGTGCCGGCATGTTTCGCAGGCCGCTTATCAGGGGAGTCAGCTGGAATGCCCAAATGTTTACTGCACTTGAAATCGCCTATAGTTTGATTAGTTTACTTACCATGCGCTTCGTATGTTGCATCATTGTTTAGCAAAGGTTTTGTTGGCTGAACAAAAAATTACGATGTTCCTGCAAGTAGTGTTGGTAAGCGACTATTTAGTGTTGAATAGAGTTTAGAGATCAGCTGTTTTTAGTAATCAGCGCCCTCTGGTGAAATTTTGTTGAATCTGGCTGCTACTTATTTCAGCCACCAGGTGTCGTCCTATAGTTCTACAACTAAACGCAATATTTTTGAGGACGCCACTGTGAATATTTGAATTTATTTTTTAAATAATTACTCATAAAGTTTTTGAATTGTAACAAATGATAACAACATAATCATAACAATAAATAGAAAAAACTTATATAAAGGGACCATGTATTATTAATATAAACATTAAATTTAGTAACAAAGGCCTTAAAATACCCTAAATTTAAACGTAAAATCTAGGTTATTAACTTTAATTGAATATACAAAGTTTTATTATTCGATAAAAAAAATTGTATTTTAATATTTTCCTAAAACAACTATAATATAAAGAGCAAAGATTAAACATTTACAACCACAAACAGGATGCAAGTGCGACAACTTAAACCCGCTTCGTACTCGAAGTTGCCGGCCAAGAGTAGTCATCAGCTTCGCTTTTTTCAAAAATTAGTTACTGGCAGGCGGCTTTGTTTGAGTTGCTTTGAGGAGGAAGAGCGAGCGGACAAGTGTCCGTTAGTCGGGTGCTAATAAAAACCTGGACACCCGAGAGGCGTCCCCGAAACGGAGCGGAAGAACAGAATCACCATTTTTATATTCGCATTGCTCTTGAGCCGATGCTGCTGCAACATCAACAGCAACGCCAACAGCAATTGCAACTGCAGCAGCAGCAAAAGCTCTCTGCAACTCTCGACTTTGCATTCAAATTCAGCTCTGGCGATGACGACAGTCCGCGTCGAAGTAGCCGCCCCAAGAACATCATATTGCCGACCAGAGTCTCGGAACTGCTCAACATCTGCGTCACTCGCGGAATTCTGGGTAGCTGATACAATACTGCGGAGATATTGCGACAAGCTCAGCCAGTTCCGACTCATTAGACTTATCGCGATATATTACTGGGGAAACTTCCGAGTTCCAGGGATGTTTTGAATACCCACAATAGCAGGTTTTGGCGGATTCTTTAACTCTTGCCTTATTTTATTCCTGAAATAAGATAAGTCACGGCTTTCCACCATTTACTAATTATTAAAAAAAGATTACACAAATTGTCAGATTTCAAGGCATTTTATTTAGCTTATACCATTCAAATTTTCAGGTTACATTAATGGTCAATTAGGTTGTACTGCCAACACATCAAAACCCAATCTCTAAATATTAATATTTAGATATATTAAAATATTTTTTTTTTGTGAATCATTCCGTATTTTGGTTCTTTCCTTCTTATCATATATTTATTTTCAGTTGGAACCAAAAAATATTTTAATTTTCAATAATATTTTAATCAATTTGAAATAATTTTGAAACAATATATATATCTTAATGATTTAATTTTATAATGATTTTATCTATGTTTGTATCCTATATGTATGGATTATATTTTCAAAATAATTGATATTGAGATTTTTTAAAATCACCCAAAAACCTATTGGTAATAATGTTACGGTTAGGTTTTGAGGTTTTAGCTTTTTGAAAGATCCTTCTTGAAAGTCCCCGAAAAACCATTTTCCCCAACAAGATCCAACCCCATATTTATATTCTGGCCCTCCGTCCGTATCTACATATATCTGCAGCCGTGGCCGTAGCCGCGCCAGAATCAGAATCAGAAGCAGAGCATTGTGTCCGTCGTTGAATCCAGTGCGCGTGTTGCTGCGACTCTATATAAATATACATTTGTATATGTACGGGCACTCATATAGGAGGTTTCTGTTGTTGCCGTTGTTGCTGTTGTTGCTGTATCTGTATCTGCGACCGAGTGTGTGCGCTCGTATCTGTATCTGTTGTTTGGGGCTACGGCTCTGAGCGCTCCGTAGCGATACCAACAACAACGAACCACGGAACGTACCAGGCAAACGAACGAACGAACGAACGAACGAGCGAACGTCCCAAATGTCGCTGCTTTTTCTATATTTTCAGATTGTATGGCGGTTGGCGGCGGGTCGGAGGAACTGAATTGGGTACTGCTGCTGTTGTTGTTGTTGTTGTTGCTGATGTTGATGATGTTGCCGTTGCCGTTGGCCTGGCTGACTGGGCTTGTCGAGGACGTTCGCTAGATGGCTGACTGGCTGACTGGCCGACTGGGTTGGCTGTATGGCTGTATGGCTGTTTGCGTGCCAAAAAGCGAGCGATGGCAAAATTCATATGTGCGCCTTATAGTGAAACTATAAACGGC